TAAAAAAAAAAAATGTACGCTGGCATGGTCGTGGGCGCCCTGTAGACCCATGCTACCTCGGGCGGCTGAGGCAGGAGAATGCGGCATGAACCTGGGAGGTGGGCTTGCAGTGAGGCCGAGATAAGTGCCACTGCTCCTCCAGCCTGGGCGACAGAGTGAGACTCCCTCTCAACAAAAAAAAACGGATGCCAACAGAACTATTCCCAACATGACATTCTTCTGACTGCGGCATTGGTACAGGGTAGATGCATACTGAATATTTCTTAGACGAATGAATGGATTCTGTTTCTCTGCAGCTTTCTGTCTTCCATGCCCTAAATATGCCAAGTGTCACAACAGCACCCACTGTACCTGTGAACACGGCTTTTGGGCCTGGTCTGGCAGGACATACTTTCATGAGTTCTCTGAGAAGTGTGAAGGTAAAAATATTAACGGGGTTTTAATTTAATCTCTCATTAGTGATAACTATTCTGTTCCATGTGTCCTCTGCCCAAAACACATAAACCCATAGCCCAAATAAAACTCGTCTCTCTTCAGCAGACTATTTGATAAAGTACAGCCGTCGGCCAGGTGTGCTTGTCCCTGAGTCCTTCAGATGGAGAGTGCAAATATAAGTCTGTGGTCCAGAGCACCTTTTGTCTGTGGGTCCTTTGCTTGAGCCTCAGCTCTGGTCCATTCAGTAGAGAAGGTTGATGTGGTTGGGAGCGGCAAGACACATAAACATTGCATAAGCCACGATTTATTTATTTATTTTTTTTGAGATGGAGTCTTGCTCTGTCGCCCAGGCTGGAGTGCAGTAGCACCATCTTGGCTCACTGCAAGCTCCGCCTCCCAGGTTCACGCCATTCTTCTGCCTCAGCCTCCCGAGTAGCTGGGACTACAGGCGCCCACCACCATGCCCGGCTAACTTTTTGTGTTTTTAGTAGAGACGGGGTTTCACCGTGTTAGCCAGGATGGTTTTGATTTCCTGACCTGGTGATCCGCCCGCTTCAGCCTCCCAAAGTGCTGGGATGACAGGTATGAGCCACCGCGCCTGGCTTTTTTTTTTTTTTTGAGTCAGAGCCTTACTCTGTCACCCAGACTGGAGTGCAATGGCGCGATCTCAACTCACTGCAACCTCTGCCTCCCGGGTTCAAGTGATTCTCCTGCTTCAGCCTCCTGAGTAGCTGGGATTACAGGCACACACCATGACGCCCAGCAATTTTTGTATTTTTAGTAGAGACAGG